CGTACAAAAGGCTTTGGTAGTTTCCGCCCAAGTCGGAGAGAGAGAGAGCACGTGGAGTTCGGGAAAGGAGCGTGAGGATCTCTAAGCGCTGCTGATCCCTTCGAACCCAGCTTTTTCCTTAAGAGGGCAACAGAGGTTTAATTTGTCGAACCCACGGAGCTTCAACAACTCCGGGGGACCTAATTTCCAAACCCTCGGAGCCTTAACAACTCCGAGGCACATAACCTCTAGCCTCTCCCCGTCGCCGACCGCAGTCCTAGACGTATCCCTATCCTATGGACCCAATTGTCGAACCCACGGAGTCTTAACAGCTCCGGGGGACCGGGGAACCGAGTGAAACCCATGGAGATTCAGCTGCTCCGTGAGAGAGAATTGTTAAACCCGCGGAGCTTAAACCACTCCGGGGTCAAGGAACCGAGTCTATTAGAGTCCTCCACCGAGAACTCAAGCGGAGCTGTGCCTGGAAAGCTGACCAGCTTACACCGCGACCACCTTGGGTGTAAGTACAAGATGAAACTCTTACCCATTTACAGTAGGGATGTAAACATTGTTTAAATAATTACCCGTTTAAACTCCTCTAATGATATCTGTTAGACTGGTAACTGATAACACGCAACTAATGGGTACTAAGCTCCCTCCCCTCTCCCTTTCCTCCCTCCCAAGTCAGTGGCAGGTGGAACTGCACTGCAACAGGCAGGCAGGGCAGCTGTGGTGCCTGCTTGGCCATCTTCCTGGGGCACCATGCTGTTTCCCTTCCTGACTGGACTGTACCCCACACTAAACATGAACTGTAGCTTGTTACTGGTATAAATGTACTTCATTCAACCTATCATATCCCTAATTTATAGGAGTGTAACAATGATGCTCTTTTTGCAGTATTTGCATCTTGGAAGATAAACCTGCTGCACGGGTGGGCATAACAAAATTGATTTCATTATGCTAATTTTCAGCGTGCTGGAACATGTGCATTAACTCAGTCAGTGCTTTGACTTAATGATCTTGGACTTGGATGTGTCCAAGTGCCTTTCAAAGGAATTCAAAGACAGGCCTTTTATATTTGTAAGGTCCCATGTGTTGGTATAGCTGAATGTCTGTAGACCATGAAAGAAGCTAGTTAGCTGCAGGTTTAGGTTGTTGGTATTTTTGTAGTTTATTTCAGCTTTTTATAACTGCACCATTAAATTCACTGTAGGTTGAAATTTGGCATTCAACTCTTAGCAAATTTGCTTTTCACCACTTAAGAAAACTGCTTTTGATCATTTTAATAGTTTCAGGAACTCTT